ATGACATGGTATGCTCTGGGTGGCACGAGAAACTATGGTACAGGGACACGTGCTGGTGACAGGAGTTGAAAAGGATCATTCTGTGTTTCTAATTAAGAGTAAATCTAGCATTACCAGCCAAAGCCCTGGTGGGTCAGTGTCAGTTGCAAGCACTTCCCACCATTTTGCATTCTCTGAACTTCCCTTGTTCAGGGCATCCCAGTTTCCCAGACAAGGGTTTGTTCCCAATGGACCAGCATGTTGGTTTTGTTCTTTGTTGGGGCCAGACAAAACAAGAGACAAATACGTCCACTGTAGTAGTAGGAAGCAAAAGCTTACAAAAGCAACGCTAGGCTCCACTATGCTGAAACAAAACATTTCTAAGGGAATTAGAATGGTGTTCTCCAATAGCCTAGACAGAAATAAGAGTTCTGACAGCAGGAGAAAGCAGCAGACAAGTAGAGGGGGAAAACTGACAGAGTTTTGAGCAACAGTAAAAAGTCAGGGACTGCTGATATATTAGGAACCAAGGGGGAAACACCTGTGAAATGCCTCAAAGGAATTAGTTCATGGTCCTCCAAGAAGGTGACAAGGTCACTGACACAGCTGAAGTGTCTCTACCAATGAACACAGCACGGGTATCAAACATGAGGAGCTGGAAGCCACTTTGCAGTTGGAAAAAGCTATGATTTAATCACCATCACTGATATATCGTGGGAAGGATGACACAACTGGAGTGCTGCAATCAACAGCTAAAAACTGTTCAGGAGGCACAGGCAAGGAAGGAAAAGCAGGTGGTTACCCTCCATATAAAAATAAAATAAAATATTAAAAAATAGATTGGCTCTAGAGAGCCGCCTTGGAAAAACAGGAATGAACAAGTTGAGAGCTTATGGGTAAAAATTAGGGGCCAAGCCAACAAAGGAAACCTCATGGCTGGTATTTACTACCGGTTACCTGATCAAGGGGAGCTTATTGATAAAAGAGTTCTTACTTCAACTACAGGAAGTGTCATGCTTGCAGGCTCTGATCCTGCTGGGGGACTTCAATCACCCTGACATCTGCTGGAAAAGTGGCACAGTAATCTATAAGCAGTCTAGGAGACTCTTGTACTGTGCTCAGGATAATTTCTTAATCCAGGTGACAGACAGTGCAATTAGAGGGGAGGCATTATTACACCTGTTGCCTACTAATACAGATGAACTATTTAGGGATGTCAAGATTGGTGGCGGACTGAACTGCAGTGGTCAGGCCCTGGTGGCATGAGGGGTATGGACCAGGTGAAGAACAGAGTAAGGACTCCAAATTTCAAGAGGACACTCTCAGTTGTTTAATGAATTAATGGATGGGACCCCCTGGGGAACTGCCCTGAGAGACAAAGGAGCTGAACAGAGCTGGTAGCCCCTTAAGGACATTTTTCTTAGAGATCAGGAGGTCTCAATTCCACAGGTAAGAACTCAAGCAAGAAAAGTAGGAGACACTAAGGACCTCCTGGTCAAACTACAGTATGAGAAGGAAATGCACAGGCACAGGAACCAGGGACATGTAGGCTGAGATTAGAGGGATGCTGCCCAGGTGTGTACAAATGGGATCAGGAAAACTAAGGCACAATTAGAGCTGAATTTGGCACAGAATGAAAATAATAAGGGCTTCTACAGGAACACTGGCTAGAAAAAGGAAGATTGAAGTAAACATACCCCCCTTGATAAGTAAGACATGAGAACTAGTAACAACTGATATGGAAAGGCTGGTAGGTACTCAACAGGGTTTTTTACCTCGGTTTTCAACAGTAATCTCTCTTCCCACATCTCTCAACTCCCTGAACCTCAAGGCAGGGACTGTAGAATGAAATTAGGTCCATTATAAGGGAAACTAAAGGTTGAAGGTTCAAGACCATTAAACCTTCTGAGATACCTGAACGTGAATCAGTCCATGGGACCCAGTGAGATGTATCCCAGGGTCCTGAGGCAATTGGCTGATGTTGAGCCATGCTCAATAAAACTGAGAAGTCATGGCAGTCAGGCAAAACCCCAGTGACCGGAAAGAGGAAAATGTCACACCCATTTTTAAAAAAGGTAAAAAGGAGGACCTTGGAAACTACCAACCAAGCAGCCTCGCCTCCACGCCCAGTTAAATCATGGAACAGATCCTCCCAGAAGACACATGGAATACAGGGAGTTGCTTAGAGACAGAAAGAGCAAATCATGCCTGACTAATTTGGTAGCCTTCTTTGATGGAGTGACTGCATCAGTTGACAAAGGAAAAGCTACAAAAGAGCTTTTATCAGCATCTGCCTGAACTTCTGATAGGCTGGAACAGGTTGTCCAGAGAAGTTGTAGATACTCATCACTAGAAGTGTTCAAGGTCAGGTTACCCAGGGCTTTGAGCAACCTGATCTAGGTAACATTATCCCTACCTGTGGCAGGGGAGAGAACTACATGATCGTTAAAGGTCCCTTCCAACTCAAACTGTGCTACAATTGTAATCCTGCAGGCCAGTTCTTGGAGATACACAGTTTTAAAATTTATACAAATACAAATATATGGTTTAAATGGTTATTTAAAATAGAAGAAAGCTACCTCTAGTAAAAAAGGGGTACTTTGGCCAAATGTGGCATAATCTAGATAAAAACATAGGAGCTGCTTGCACATTTCCGTTACCTTGTCATTAGATAAACAATAGCAGCAGCTGCTGGGGGCATCAATATATGCAAGGAGACTACACACAGACAGCTTGGAATATGGTTCTCCTAGCCGAGGCATTTCTTGCTTTGTCGCTGAAATGACCATTTGGTCCATCAGGGTCAAGGATAGCCATATCAAACATCTCCCTTTACAGACACAGATCTGATCTCTGAAAGGTAGGTTCTCATACATCCATGTGCTGCAGAAATGGCACCAGTTCCTACAGTAATAGGATGCAATACCAAATTGAGCAGAGGCACAGTAAAAGATGAAATGGAGACAATGCTTAGAGTTCAGGTTCCTTCAGCTTAAGTGAGCAATTCACAGAAACAGGCTTCAAGGCAGCAATAGGAAAACAAAGAAGCATCACGAATAAGGTCTCCCAGTACCAACTTTTTGCTTGTTTGTTTTGAAGGGAGAAGGATCTAGATAAAAAGAATATTACAAAGCATCACTTTAAAAGGACTTTATTCTATTTTCACGTAAACCCTGATTTTTCAAAAAGACTCTTTTGTCTCAGTCTTTTCATTGTTTACTTTCAGACTTTGCTCAATGAAGTTTCAACCTCTTAGCAAGACAGCCTGACTCCCAGTCTATATATACATACTGTAACCTTACTTCTCAACATACTACAAAAGACTTCGATGCATTCTAGAATTCAATCAGCAGTAGATGTTCCAGAGATCAGATTTATCTAATTGAAGTAAAGTAGAAGGAAAGCATCTGAACCAAACAACCAAAATCACAAGTATATTTCAACAGCAAGAGCTCTTCCAGCAGGGGAAGAAGATACCTTTTTTAAAGGCTCCTTCCTCCCCCAGTGATTGCTTTCAACTGTGTCCCCACAAATAGGTGCATCCTGAGTTACACAATCCTGAGTAACATGCTCTAGGAAACCCTGTTTGAGCAGGGAGGTCAGACTGGATCACCTCCAGTAGTCCCTTCCAACCTTACCCATTCTGTGATATTAACTATGACTAGTTTTCTATGCGTAGGAAGCACTACAGAATTGCTCCCTGGTACACCAGTTCTGCCTCCCTCTAATTAAATATGCATAGAAAGAAAGAACATGAAGAAAGTTCCAGAGCCTGTAGGCAGCACAGCAGGCTGATAATATCCTTCTGCCCTCAGAGAAAGAGCCAGAGTTGGTAGATTGCTCAGCCTACATGAACAGCAATTCAAAGCCTTTATCTTGCCTGAACTTAATGAAGTAAATATTTCTGTTTCCTTTTTTGGACGTAATACTTTTCAAGTTAAAATTTTCCATTTCAGCTAACAGTGAAGACAAAAGTATATGCAGGTTATGCAGAATGCAGTCTTCTGGGGGCTTCTAGAAGTGTAACTGCAGTTGTTTTGTTTGTTGGGCTTTTTTTGCATCACACCAGAGACAGCAAGTGTTCATTCCAGAACACTTCTCCCAAGAACACTATCTGCACAAAAAGCTGTGTAATATAAAGGAAACTTCGAGAGTTCCACAATGAACCTGCAAAATGTAAGAACTCTAGAAGCTTCAGTCACCAAAAAAACCAACAATCAAACAAAAAACTTTCTTTGAGCTAACAGGAAATAAAAGACAGTACACTAAGCATTTATTTAATCCCATTTATTTGCAGCCATGAACTATGAACATGCACTCCTTTTTCACGGAATCACACAATCATGGAATGGTTAAGGTCAAAGGGACCTCTGTAGATCATCTGGAACAACTGCCCTGCTGCAGCTGGGCCACCTATAGCCAGTTGTCCAGGACTCTGTCGAGATGGCTTTTCAATATCTCCAAGGCAGGAAACTCTACAACCTCTCTGTGCAACCTGTGATTAGTTGCCGTGATGGTAAAAAGTGTTTCCTGGTGTTCAGAAGGAACCTCCCAAGTTTCATTTTGTGGCAATTTCACATAGAGTCTTAAGAATCACACCTAAGTGTGTTCAAGAAGTCATCTGGAACTCACTTATTGTTAGCATGCAAAATGGAACAGAAGACCCTCTAATCAAAAGAGCTTCAAAAAAACCCTAACAAAAAACATTTAGCCTATTTGTAGATGGCACGGGTTGAAGACTCACTATGCAACAACTAAATCACAAACCTTTTCCTTGCAAGCAACGATTCTGCAACTACTTAAGTTTCTAAGCATTTGGTTTAATATACTATTTATTGAACAGCTAGAAATCTTTATTGCTGCCCTACTGTCTGAGCAATTTATGTTTTCATCTGTATGCCAAGATGAAAGCTGCTTTAAGGACAAGTCTTCATTGCTTGGTCCCAATTTCACTTTTCTCTGAACAAATTCACCTTTCTACTTCAAGTTTTATTCAAATAAATGTCAGCTTTAATCCTGACATCCCATGTGACAGATTAGGAGCCCCGCTTTCAGAGTCCTTGAAAAGCACAAGCAGTCTGTGAGGCAAATCAGGTCAACATGTAGCATCCTAAGAGGAAAAGGAATTGAGGAGAGTTAAGAGAAACCAAAGATGAATTCCCATCTCTGGCATATGCTAACCATTTCTTCCAGGTGAAGTTTGGGGGGAAAAAAGTCCTAGTGGAAGTCAAGTTATAGATTGCATGTGGAATTAGCTATGTGGCTATCAGAAGGCATTATTTGCCAGTGCACCAAAATCTAACCCTTGTGAAGCAACATCAACAGAAGAATCTTAAAAGTTTCTTAGAATCTGTCCTGGATCTACCTTTTTCCAAAACACAAAAGGTATGTGCATAATCAAAAACTGTTTCTCTTTTTAGTACCTTAAGAAATACGGATTGAAGAGATTCAAACCCTAGCAGCAGCTCTAAACCCGCCATTCAGTGAGGTGAGCACAAGATAGGGAAAAAACTCAACCACTAAAGCCCAAAACAACTATCACATTCCACAAGTACAGCCTTTTCCAGAGGTGAATTTCAGTGCCTACCAGCTTTCAACAGCACACAACTCACATATCGTGTCTTAGTCACACACGGTATGGAACACACAGAGTGACATTTTGATGTGATTAACAGCTCAAACTCTTTAGATTAAAGAAACCCCAACATGCCAAATAACTTTTGTATATTTTGCATAAAACTTTAACCTTGCACTAATTTTGTAAGCTCATCATTAGTCCACAACATAACTACCAAATACTTAAGAAACACAAGTAACACCTGAAATCTTAGGAATACCAAGCTGATCAGTTAAAAAAATTGTGGCTAAAGCTATGAGTTAGCCAGAAGACAGAAGTATTCTCAAAAATTCTGTTTATGACATAAAATGAGGAAGCTAAGAATACACTAAGTTCAAGCAGACATAGAAGTCTAGTAACAACTGACTAGCTAGCAGTATCACATATATCAGTCTTGTAAACTTTCCCAGCAACTATCTTAGATCGCATTATTACGTAAAAGTAACATTGCTGTAGATTTTTAAAGCCCAGAGCTATATCCATTTTTTTTCTCCAGTCCTAGAACTGCTCACCACCATGCCCTACTGACACAGAGCAGTGCAAGTCTTCACGTATTTAGCACTAGATCCTTGACGAGCAAATATTCTACACTGCAAAAATGTCAATCTGTCAGGTGAGATATCGTTAGTGTTGTAGGTCTCACGCTAGGGAATGGTGCATGTTACATCAGTCGGAGTAGGTTCTTTCCCTGGATCACCTGTGTTTGGGCCATTCTTGTACTATCCCCCCAAACAAGAAAATAAAAACAATTTGTTGCAGCCAGTTCCCTCATCATGTAAGTTCTGTATCCAATACCATAGCTAGGTCAAGAGCACTGTGCCTAACCAAGGAACTGCCCAGTACTGCTTGCTTGGACAAGACAGCAGCAAAACATGAAGACTACACACAGCAGCACGAACAGCACAATTCACATCAGACACTTAAGCACCTCCTAGAAAGAAATACCTTCATCAAAGCAACATGGTGCATTTGTAGAGGCTGAAGTGAAGACCACCTGGAACAAGAGGCGAGCGCTCAGTATTTTCAGTAGGCTTCAAGCACTCATAGTTCATTTCGCACACTTGCTTTACATCGCAGAAAGACCACACCATTAAAAAGAAGACACTTTCCTTTGTTCACTATATGAGAAAGATTTAATTGCCTATACATTTTTACAAGCAAGACCTTTATATCCTGTAGTAATACTTTAATCAATATTTTCCATTAGTCTAAGAACACATCCAAGAATTCTGCTGGAATTTGCCCCACTCATTTATGCCTTAACATCTACACATATATCTAGAGATTGTTTATAAACCACATATGAACTGCATTAAGACCACATGGTTCCGCTGAGAAGCTAAAAGCAGATATTGCTACAGTAATCAGAAGCACAGTCCCATAATCTTAAGTATTTCTGCAAGATATTTAGAAAGCTGCTCTGAACTGGTATTGGACATCTGAAAGCAGTTTCTGTATCTGCAAGAGGACTATCTGTTCTGTTCCTCTGTTCTGAATAATATGCATCTTCCTCTTCCCCTCCCTCTCAATTTGCTAATAGTTAACATCAGTACAGATTTCAGTACAGTACAGTACATCATCAGATTTAACAAACACTTGTAAAGGAGCATCATAAAATAAATTACTCTTTTCTTGTCCTCCACAGATTCTCCTGTGCCAAGCAAGCAAACAAGGAAAAAGTAGTTTCCTTGATACCTTGAATTTTGAAAAAGAAATAGGACAGGGAAAAAGTCTAAAACTACAGATAGGCTGTAACATATTAACTGTCAATACAATTCAAACCTAACAGAAAGACAGACAGCTTTCAAATCATATAATGTTTTCATGAGGTTGAATTTCAGTTAAATTTTAGCAATACAAATACCATAATACAAACCACAGCCTTAAGGAACATAAGCAATACAGTAACATGACGAGCTTTACAAGCCTTCAGCACCATTAGCTCCAGATACAAAGATAAGACATTTTATTGGCATAACCCTGCAAACAAGACTTCCGCAGCTAAAATAAGGCTTCTTTTCACCCCGTTTGTACAAAGCATCATGCTGTTCTAAAAAGTTTACTGTTGATTTTATTTCTGAACAGGATTTAACCTGAGGATTAATCCAGCTCAGTGATTGGTTTCCTTAGGAAAAAAAAATTGTGGTAGGGTACTTCCACCTTACTTCAATGATCCACTCATTTCAAGGTTCCTTGCACTCCAAGACCTTTCTTTGTTGGGTACACAGGGGTGACTGACACTGCTGAGACAGATTTCTTCAAAAGGCATCTCTCACAGTTACATGTGCACAGATGCAAAACACCAGCACACAGTAACTCCTGTAGACTGCACTATACCAAAAGACCTGTCTGCACCAGATGTCACATACTGAAGAGGTATCCTTCACATACGGAAATTTATCCATTTCCCTCGTGTCCTTCTGCCAAAGTCCACCAGGGAGCACTGCAATTGTATATGCCATGGTAGTGCGTCCCAAACCATTTTCTGCAGTCACTTTTGACAAAAGCCCTGTTGTCTCACACTCCAGTCCATTGTTACTATGACAACAGTATTACAATGCCTTCCAATTACCAATGTATGATTTCAGTTGTGGATTCCTCCACCCCCACTAGCTCATAGAGAAGGCAGCCTTATTCTCAGGTCTCTTTCAAAAGGGGAAGTCCAAACTACAGAGCAAGAAATGTAAGATTCAGCCCTAGAAGCTCTCACTTCTATGATGAATATTAACATTTAAAAGCTAACATAGCTTAAACAAGTGATTAGAGGACATGAAACTATTTAAAACCATAAACAAGAACTTAATTTAGAAAGCAAAAGTATTCTTTCACTCAACCTAAACCATCAAATTTTCATCCTGTATTTCCTATTATCCAAGGTTCCTTTGAGAAAGACCCCATGAAGAAACAGTATGAGAAGAGAAGCATATTAGGTGTTTGAGCCACTGTGCATGCACAGGATTTAAAACCATTTGCTACTTAAAGCAGGGTTCCACATAAATGACATCACTCACAGAGCAGAAACAGACCAAAAGAATTCATAACCTGAACAGTCTGATGAGCCTGCTTCCACAACAACAGATTTGGCTTTGAACAATGAGTACTCAGTAATAAAATAAATACAGCCAGGATTTTTATTTTGCATATCTGGACAGACAATAGATGCTATTAACAAGGACTGCTTGGCCTTAAGCATATCAAATCACAAGACACCTTTTCTCTTACGTCAATATTAACTGCAACCAACAGACAGAAAAGCTCCACACTGCAAGGATTATTTCATGTCCTCTTAATGGAGCAAAACTAACATTTCTGGTAGACAAAAACAGTCTAAAGTTCTTTAGATTGTCCTACAGCTTAAAAAAGTTCAAATACAAGTCACTGTCTTCCCATTACACATTATGAGCTGTCAGTAACAGTAGTGCTCCAACTCCGTAGTTCAAAAGTCAAAGCAGGAATATTAACAATATTAAAAATCTTCTGATATAAACAGCAGCAATAGTTAAAACATTTTACACAAAGTATTTGAAAGTACTTACTTAAGAGTATTTTCCAATGATTTTACAAGCCTCTGAATATCAGATACCTAGGATGTCTCTTTGAATCTAAGCTTCCTTCTGGAACACCAGTTCTCCAAGAGAGTCTTTAGGAATTCAGTACATCTCTCCAACAAACAACATGTATAACCAGATCCCAATGGACCTCAATTACCAATATCCCCTCTAATTCTTATTAAGAGGCTACTAGTCTTCTTACAGGCTTCTGTCAATCCAGCAGCTAAATCTATAGTCAGTGTAATTATTTTTCAGTTAAGGTACTAAAGCTTCTCCCCATCACCCCACCCTCACCTCCAAAAAGAACAGGCTTTCAAAGAACAGAACACAATTCTGCTCTTTGATAGCACTTCCTATGATTTTTTTTTACTACTATTATTTTTCAGATAATAAAATCAGATATTGATTTAACTTTTAGAGCAATAAAGTTCCTCTGCTTGGAAGGCAAAACATTGTGAGTGAAGAACAAAAATATCATAAACTGCAATAATTTCACTATGTGCTGTACATCCCTTCTTTGCAAGAGGACCAAACAGACAAGTAGTTCAATGATTGGGCACATTACCATTTCTACAATTGTTTTAAGATTTGCTGTGCACTAGTTCTACTGATAAACTACCTTCCATAGATTTTTTTTTAAATCCTAACAGAAGGTTTACCTGCCCCACAGGAGGGGTCACATGATATTCCCTCCATATCTTTCAACCTAAAGACGCATAATAGCAGAAGGTAATAACTACTGGATTCTTCTCGTTCCCCAATTGTGAGGAAGCACAGCAGGGTGGGGAATGTCTTGAAATGTCTACAAAGAGGCATTTAAATAATAGTGATCCCTATATTAAGGACAGGACCTATACACTAGAAAACCTGTTACCTTAAAAATGTTTTAGCTTGCTTGCTTGCTGTATCTTTCAAGTGCAAAAAGGGTAAAGATAAAAAAGAATTTACACAGAATTCCTCTGGTCAAAAAGAGACAAACTGCACTTTGACAATACCATTAGGTCCCTTCATAGCACTGGGACAATAAATTCATCATGCCACAGGATCTTTGAAGTAGATTTTATAAGTAGCCCAGAGAAAGTCAGTAAAAACATTGGTCTAAAGTCATATTAAGTAATTCCTGATGAATCCTTAGCACTGCATGAACTAAAAGTGATTTTTAAAAAACTTTTACAGTTTTGTACAGTGATGAAGATTTTCAGCAGATAGAACTTTTTATTTCCCTAAAATTACTACAGAATCCTGTATGTCCAGATCCATAAACCACGGCATCATCACAAAAGATGTTCATGGTTTGCATATCTTGAAGGATGCCCTTAGAAACTAAGCAGGTGTATGACACCTGAAATAATATTTAGTCTAGCAGTCCTATACATATCACAACACTTAACTGGAGATCCACCTAGAAAAAAAATAAATCTCTTTGAGAACAACTACAGCCTCTGCAGAAACAAACATATTGAAGGGCAAAGCAAACCCAGACAAACTACATAAGCACAACTTCTGTAAGGTTATTTTTAGCCTAGTTTTCTTAAAAAAAAAAAAAAAAAAAAACAACCAAAAAAACTGTGCCGCACAAACAGTTTTAAAGGAGCTGTTAGTACTCAGGAAATATCTTGAAGCTACTCCTGTGCACTGCTCAGCAACCAGAAAACCAAACCAGAAAGAACAGTAGGCTACCCTATAAATCTACTTCACCCAGTTTTGGTGTCTGTACTGATCATACCAACCACTCACCCTTAAAAAAAATGAAGGGGAAGGAGAGGCAGGGGGCAGAAACACCAGAATATTCAACAGGATTACATAACAGAAGACTATGTTTTTCAGCTTGGAAAAGAGACATTTGAGGGGAAAAAAGACAGAGGTCTATAAAATCACGAAAGATGTGCAGACTGAACAGAAATGACCATTCACTAATTCTCACCTAAGTCCTGAATCACTTGCAATAAAAGTCATCAAGAAATCAAGAATAATGTTTTCAAAAAGAGGGTTGTCTTCTTTCAGCAAGACTATTAAACTGTAAAATTCTCTTGCCACAGAGCACCTTCAAAGCCAAAAGTATAGCACAATTTAAGTGGATTGGAGCTTTCAACAACTTTGTATACAAACTGCTATGCAACACAGTCCAGATGCAGTCTCTACCAAGTTCCTAAATTGCTGATTGCTATGAGAAAAGAAGGATACATTCAAGGCATTTATAGTATCTGAGCATCATGGGCTACATATTATTTTTGGAAAAAAGTAAGCTACCTGGATCTTCCTCTGAAAGTCTGTACTACAGTCAGACTAAAGAAATAGGTAATTCTTTCTCCCCAGCCCAACACGCAGAACAGTCACTACCCCGACATCAAAGCATTCCTCCAAACACATTTTGCAGAGTTCACTACTCATTCATTATTCCATGAGCAAATACAACACTGAGAAACAAAACCACTTTTCATTAGCTCTAGAAGCAGTTCACAGGCACTGAAATGCATCTTCCTGACAGATAAAGCAATCCTAGAAGTCATAACTAGTGGAGGACACTAACAATTGGTTTCAATGCTTCAATAAATTTAGTCCAAAAACTGATTATATAAAGCAAACAATGATTTCAAATGGATTTAATTACTTAGCAACTAAACAAATCTGCACTGACTGAATATATTGTAAGAGATGGCCAGCAAACCAGCTGCTTATCAAGATCTACACTTCCAGACCCAGAACACAACAGCAACTGCCACCCAAAAGAGCCACAGCCCTTGTTCCTCCCAAACTCAGCACATTCACATTCTGTCCCTACACTCTCCTATGACTGTGATATGCAACCAGTAAAACAGAAGGAAAGAACTCGTATCAGCCATTTGCTGTCTTACAGTTTCCTGGGTGGAAGTTTGTCCACTGTCTGATGAGTTTTCACCAGTTCATGTATAGTCATTATTTCTACATAAGCTTCCCAGTGGCAGGGTTTGTGCCCCCTACTCTAAACTCGGCTATATGGCTGAGCACTCACAGTACCTTTAGCACAAACATACACTCTCCATTCCAAGGCTAATGTTAGACACAAGCATTCTATTGCTGTAGCATAATCACTACCTATATTTTGCTGGTCTTCCCAACCTGCTTCAATGCCTTGAGTTTTCCTCTTAGAAATCATTAATCATGAATGTGTTCCATCTCTGTTCAATTATCACTTTTTCCCTTTTTAGCCTGCTAAGTGGCCAAAAAAGTGTTCTATGCTAGAAATGATAAAAAAAATATGCAGCCTGAGGTGGCACCAAAGAAGGAAAGGAGAGAAGATAAAGTGAAAAATTCTCACCCATTATATCATTTGGAAGAAGATGCCAAGAATAGGTACCCAAAAATGAGGCTAGATGACTGATTTCTACACAGTCTATCACTTTTCAGACAGACATCCAAGTTCAGCAATAAATTCTAGCTTATGCCAGGATTTCCAGACACTGTTCTTCAATCAATGCTTTTTAAAAAGCATGCCTTGCTTGTTTAAAAAGGAACACTCTGAGGACATGTTCTTTGATTTTTTTTAATTTAATTTTTTTTCTATCCTATCTGCTGCAGCAGTCCACACTTAAGGTGTAAATAGCACTACTGTACAATGTATTCCAAAAGCTATTTAAGTATTCCTAGTCAGAATTCATGCCCTAGACAGTCACTGTTCCATTATCCCTGTGTACAATGTATTCCTTCAAAAGATTTTGAGATTAAAGCTGAAGACTTTAATACAAAAGTTTTATATAAAACTGTTAGAAAGAAACAGGAACTTTGCCGAAGCCAGCAAAACATGCTTGCCCATTAGATATAAACTGCAAACAAACTCACTGCAAACATGAAACTACAGACTTCTTTGGCTATACTCATATTCTATTAGTTTTATGGAATCAACTAAATCCCAAAGTAGCATCACACTACGGTACATATTAAATCTGGTGATGGTGACACTGCCTTCAGTAATAATTCTCACCTTGACAAATAAAATATCTGACTGAAATATAACATACATGGATAACTGCAACTAAACTGAGCACAACAGCATCATGCTTGCTTGTTTAAAATAAAATTTTTTTAAATGCCCAAAAATTCTTACAAAGCTACTTGCAGGCAGATTGGAGAACAGCATCTAGCACTGCAGCCCTGCTCAGTGCTTCCAAGGAACCCTATAACTGCAGCAGACAGCTGAAGAGCTTTGGGATTTGATCAGCAAGTACCACATGCTGAACTTTTACATATACATGGATCATCCCCTAAGGCTAGCATCAACATTTAGAGTCACAGATCTAATATGTGCACAGAATACAGAATGAAGTTCTGTGCAATACAAGCCACAAATTTAATCCTGTACTTCCTTCCAGCAAACCCACAACTGAATCACGCTGAACTTTAAAGGTACCATCAGTTCTTTGATTATAGAAATTAGATCTAAATAATCTCAAATTACTGACAGCA